TTCGCAAACCTGACTTAAATTCGATTAAATATTAATATAAATTATGAAACATTGTGGAGCCACTTGTTTGGGGCTCCATTTTGTTTGTGTATGTCTGGCACGCACGCACACACACACGCACGCACGCACGCACGCACGCACGCACGCACGCACGCACACACACACGCACGCACGCACGCACACACGCACGCACGCACACACACACCCCCACCCACCCACCCACAGTACACTGATCAAGTACAAGTACTTTCAAACCATTTTACAATGCAGTGTCCAATGTCTGAAAAGCAGTGACAAGATCAAATTCAACTTCAGAAAGGCACCCAGAATGATTTGGTTCGAATACATACATACTGAAATAAATATGATATGTCCCATATCTAGTATGTTATCAATAGTCATACTGTTTTTATTATTATTATTTCATCTATTTTTTTCAATATTATTACCAACATATATCAATAGTTTTTTTTGGAATTGTAGTCTGTTGATTTATTTTTTAAACCATTGTTGTGCTTTAGACAGTAATTCTTGTAAAATTTGTATGTTTTTATATACGTGTTTTAGCAGTTAGTGTAACCATTTTAATTCCTTCTGAGGAATTTTAAGTGTTTCAATAAACCTACTGTTAGCAGTACTGACATTAGCAGTATCCATAATCATTGAATATACCAAGGTTTTAAGACTGTTTGTCAAACATGTACTGACTCCAGAGGTGATACCTAAATAGTTATGTGAATCTTAATGAGCATAACTTGCAATCACTAATTTATCTTGACCCGTTATTTCACACTTTGAAGTAAGACCAGCACTGCCTTCTATATCACCAGTTAGCAACAGAATCATTCTCTTATTGTACAAATAAAGTTGCATAAATCCACACAGAAAAAAAGTTGTTAGTGTTTTTATTACCAACTTCTTTTTGTGTACAGTGAAAAATTGAAAGTCTAAATACATAGTTCTATATACATATTTTTGATAAAATAAAAGTTTCATAAATGAAGAATTTTAATTGAAGTCAGCAAATCTTCTGTAATAGATTTGTGTATATTGCAGAACTATGTGGTATTGTTGCATGATATAAGCCATTAAAATTGTCTTTCAAATCCAGATCCTGTGAAGAAAAAAAACAAAAAAACTTTACAAACAAACAATATACAGTTCACATAATTCCACTGAAACCTAGCAATTTCAGTTCTCCCATACGCACATTTAAACAAATGGATTCAAACAAGTGACCTTGGAAGCAGATGACGCCGTGTCAAGGTGACCTACTATATCCTCAGAGGTGGACATCCAGGCATTTTCATCGCCTGGTAACCCTCGTGGTGAAAACAAAGGCCAAAAACTCGCAGAAAACGGTACTTTGAGGTGATTGTTGAGACTCCTCTGAACAGTGAAACAAGATTAGCCCTACGTGTGTAACATATATAAATTTGCTTGTTCAGCATTGCTTCAAATTTGAGTTTGTGTTGTTTTCTCAAAATTTTCACTGACTCAATCGGCATTCCACAGCAGCGGGCACATAACCCATAGAAATGCATGGTACAGTGGTGCGCGTCTTAGCAACGTGGAAGGACTGTGATGTAGCTCCGCCCGAGGATATTCAAAGATGGCGCCGAGCCGTGTTTGATTGCAAATTATGAAAGATCGTCACAATATTAAAGTAGCTAGTTCACGTCATTTAAAAATTGCAGCTAGATAAACACAGAGTTACGCAAAATTATTATTTTTGTAAATAATAACTGGTTAAAAAATACAAACGAGAGCGCCAGTGATCAAATACAATTGCACTAATACATAGACGGATGTGCAGTCTATTGACCATTGGCTACGGGCATCAAACAAATTACCTTAGTCGATCCGCAACAATACAAATCCCATATCGTTGCTTACAAACATATCATCTTATATTTTAGTCCTGTGTACACGGACTGTATCGGAGGCTTAGTATCATAACACAGACCGACAATCCTCCACTTTACAGTCATTTCGAAAATGGATAGAAAAAATTAACTTTTAGCGTCTTCACAATAAAAAGACTAGAATCAAAATAAACTTCTATTTTTACCATTTAATTGACTATTCCATGTTGTCTCTGGGCTATATTTCATTCACAAATTACAGTCTACACTACTGATGACATAACATTCTGGCTAATCTCTCAAAATGGCGGACGTACCTCCTCAGATAGGGCATTTTGAATAAAGTTATTCAGTGTCTCTCATAACGGCACTTAAAATTGTAATCAAATGATACTGTTGGATCAATATTTTTTTATTGTAATAATCAAACCAGAACGATTATCTTGAATACTTCCAAACAGTCATGTTCCAATGCATAGTCGCTATTTGTGACGATTGATTACAAAACAACCGCGACTGCATGCGTAGGACAGCGTGAAATGGCATTGTCTATTAGTTAGACCCGATCAACACAGCATTATACGTAGGAC